AGTCCATCACAGAGACACCTGGACAGGTCTGCAGTCCATCACAGAGAGACCTGGACAGGTCTGCAGTCCATCACAGAGAGACCTGGACAGGTCTCCAGTCCATCACAGAGACACCTAGGGACAATTTCGAGTTACCATTCAGCCTAGAGAGAACATGCAAACTCCACCTAGAAAGGTCCCTCTGCCGGGATTTGAACCGGCGACCTTGCTGCGAGGCGGCAGCTTTACCAACTGAGCCACCGTGCAGCCCTATGAGTGTTCAAATGTTGAAAATGTCTTTATGCTCCTTCAGGAACATCAAGCTACTTTTGTAGGAACAAAAGTAAAAATTATGCTTTTGTGGCTATGTAAACAACTTAATGTCCAATGGAATTATGGGTATTTTTTTCCTATTTATGATCGACGTAGATCTCCATTAGTTCAACCTACTAACTAAAACTATATATATATTTTAATTGTTATTTATTTCTTTAATTTTAATATTTTTTGGAGATGGCCCTTGTCATGTAGGAATGTCACATATTCTGCAGATGGAACTAAGAATGCAGCTGAGTCCCTCTGAGGGAAAGAGTCTTTTCAAAATGGACAAAACCTTTTGTTGTTTTCAACATTTAACAGCGTCATGATTTTAACCCAAGTCATCGAAAAGTTTACTTTCTGTAAAATATTGACATCTCGCTGATCAGTGACTGACGTTATTTTTTGTTGTTGTTTTAGTTTTGATGACAATTAGCATGGCTCCTCTTTGATTTGTTCTTAGGTGGTTTCACCCCAACATCACAGGTGTGGAGGCTGAAAACCTCCTGTTGACCCGAGGAGTGGATGGGAGCTTTTTAGCCAGACCCAGTAAAAGTAATCCAGGAGACTTCACCCTCTCTGTACGGTAAGTCAGAGGCAGACAGGTTTGGTTTCATTTCAGATTAGACAAGTGCATATCGAAACGAAACGACGTTCCTCCAGGTTCACTGTTCAACACAGGACATTACGTGCAAAAACAATACAAAAACAATACAAAAACAATACAAAAACAATACAAAAACAATATAAAAACAATACAAAAACAATATAAAAACAATACAAAAACAATACAAAAACAATACAAAAACAATACAAAAACAATACAAAAACA